TGGAGAAGGTTCGAGCAGCAGGTGTTGATGTGATGACATCGGTCAGTATATGAGACCATCAAAGCGCCACATGCCCGTATTAGAATACATTACACCTGAAGCCTTTGAAATATAGAGCCCTTGGCTGGAAAGGGTTTTGACAAACAAACGTGGTCGAACTCAACCAGCTTATCATTCTCTGGTTCATGAATTACGGGTTTAACAAAAACGGCGGTAGCATGGATCGTGGAGAGCGTAAGGGAAGGTGTTGAAGAAATAACAAAAGGTGACCATGTGATTTCGATTTTTCAATGTGAGTTTGGGCATCTTCAATTGCTTCTTTAGTTTAATAGGACATGAACATGATCACGTGGGTTTGTTGGGAATTGTAGATAACATGCAAAAAGGGAAAACAAGGTATTGTCATCCAAGTTGGTGAGATCTTTACCTTGTCTCTTAGTTTCCAAGTGGTTAAAATTATGACATAATAGTTTTACAAGATCAATTTAGTCCATGATGTTAGTAATAAATATTACTAGCTCTTCAAGTTTTTAGTTATGCAAATTGGGTTTCCAAATTATATTTAGATTCTAATAAGTTTTTTTATGGTGAGGAAATTATCTGGAATCGAGTTCATATTTTGATGGTCCGGTACGTGAGAGAAAAATTAAAAGCTCGAATCAATATATTGAGTTCAAATTCGAGAAAAATGAGGTTATGGCAGCGTATTTGATTATACCTGAAAAAGGCATATTTTGGATTCTCTTCGACGTCCTGGGTCCGAATCCGAAGTTCGTTTTGCCAAATTCGCACTCGGTAAGTCATTTTCCATATTTTACCTTTGGATTCAAGTTAGCTTCTCAATTAAGTTTAGTATTTGATGTAAATTTGGTTGCTTTGGTATCCGAGGAATTATTGGAAGTTGACTAAAGATCGAGGGTGTTCGATTGAATGTAAAATGATCGATCAATATGGCACAGAAATTGAGGTAATACTTTACTACCTCTTTATGCTTTATGGATCATGTGAATATTGGTAAATGCATGAATAAGATATTATTGGTCTCATATGTGTAGTTAATTAATTACTACACTCGATTTGAATACGATAAAAATTCGGTAAATGATTATGGTTCAGATGTCTGTTATAAGAATTTGATGGATTGTTAGAATTAAAATTTGAATTTCTATGAAGTGATAAAGGAATCAGCTTGGATCTGTAACATATAATTTATTTCATCAAAGGTACTTGGATGAGAAATTAGAGAATACTCCGTAGGGTAAAATTCGGAAATACCCTTATATTTAAAAAGACAAGATTTGACCATAGAAGTTGGATAAAGGATTTTTAAAGACATTGATCCGATAAAATTTAGATGTGCATAAGAAATGCTAGTTTGTTTAGAAATTTGGATATCTGGTTTTTAACCCCAAGGTGGTTTGTACAAGATACTAGAAGTTGTTAAGAGAATCATTTCAAGAGCAGTGAATGTTCAATAAAGAAATTAATCATAGGATCTCTATATTATAATTATTTTTGTTAAGAGTTAATACTGAAATTATATGGTTAAGAAATTACGAAAATGCCCTTGAGAGGTAAAATAGTCCGAGTTGACCTTGAATGAGAAAGTACTTTGAGGACTCGTACTTAACTTGATTAAGTACGAATTTAATTGTTGAGATCATATTTTTGTATGGAAAATTATTGATAATTCGTTACCAACATTTGAGAAGGCATTCAACCTGGAAATCACCGAATCGAGTAAGTACTTGACGAATATATTTATAGATACTGCTTATTTGTCAGAATTGTTTGAAATGACTGAAGTAAATGATAAGTTTGGATTAAATAATAAGACTGGACGGAAGAAAATGATTGAAATACCCTAGATATGTAAAATGACCAAAATACCCTTGTAATGGAAATGAATCAAGAATATCACCAAGCCAGGAATGAATGGATATCCTCAAGCTTTGAACTGAATGGATATCCTCAAGCTTTGAAATGAATGGAAAAACATTGAACACAAAAATGACCAAAATGTCATTATGGCCTAGTCTAAGTAAATGTCTTGGGCTAATTAAGGAATTCAAATAAACATAGGTATTGTATTACCCTTAAAAGTAATGAAATAAAATTTAAGTAAGTAGATCAACCCTAAAGCTATATCAATACCTGAATGGAATAAATATCATTTGAATGCGTGTTAGTATTCACAAGTATGGATCTATGATAATTCTGGAAGTAATTAGCTCACCTCAGCTCTAGAGCGCATTCGATGCTAAGAAGGGGATATTCGTGAGACAAATCAACCACGAATATCAGATTTACAAAATTGAACTAAAAGGTAGTACAATATATATCTAAATTTCAGAAACGTCTGAATTACTCTAGAAAAACTCTGAAGCAATAGGGATAGATTTGATTGCTAAATAAACTAAGTAACCTCAACGACTGGGGATTAAATATGTGATTGGATGACTCTGGAAACACTATTGAACTTACAAGATGAAATGTCTTTACGAGTCATGAACCATGAATCAAGTACGTTTGTATCTCCTGATATCGTTGAAACGTGGAATAAAATAAAGACCGTTGGAAGATCTATTCATCGATGATTGCGAAGATGATTTATGGACAAGAATTGTTAGTATTAAAGAGTGAATACTCTAGAAGGGCATTGATTGGACTTGTCGACATGCATTAGTCTGGGAGTTATGCGACTCCAATTATTTGATAATCTAATTGATCAATATAATGGGTATATGTTCTGAATCTGTGTTTTCTCCCTTACCAGCTCAAATCACTCCGGTCATATTTGATTCGCACAAGTAACTCAGATGCAAAGGATTCTGGATACCCCAGATTGGTTGAGTAATGGAATCACTCTCCATAAATCTGAATCTAAAATTCATTCGGTATAAAGGTTCATGAACATTTTCCTGATGCACATGAATCATAATGGAATTCTAAAGTATCAACATTAAATGGCTGATTAGATCAATTAGTAATTGATTCTCTTCGATAGGACTTTGTTCCTAGAATCTGATCAAATTGCACTAGTTCATGTTATTCATACTGATAACTACAAAATGCCTATGAAAAATATTTGGATTCTCTAGTGTATTCCCACTTTATTAATAAATTGTTTTATTGTTTTAACATGAGGTACACTGAAATCTATGGTTACTGTTTTATGGATACACCAACTTAATGGTGATGGATTATGGAATTGTATCATCATGGTATAAATTGTATCTTGGAGATACTGTTTTGTAAAGTACAGCTTTGATCAAGCTGTAAAATTTTTATGGACCTAATGTGACTCTTAGGTAGGCTCTGCGGCCCTGAGATCATTCTCGGGTAGGCCCTGCGGCCCTAAGATGTGTTCTTAGGTATGCCCCATAGCCCCGAAACTTTCTTGGATAGGCTCTCAGGCCCTAGGATGTTCTTTTAGGTTAAACTCTTTATACGATGGTTTTAAACTACGAGTTTAAAAAGCTCCACTACAATATGATTTATGAGATTTACTGAACTATCATTTGATTAGTGTACCTATTATGATTTTATTGTATTGTTGGAACACACTAGACATCCTATTCGATATCCTAAAAACGTGATACTATGATTGCTTCCTATGAACTGAGATATTCATGGATTCTATTCGATGAACTACCAGTGGAACATCAGATTATTCTGAAAATTTGTATACGTCTGATTCAATACGGAAATTATGGCTTTCCATTTATCTGCATGTCCTTTAGCATCATCAGGTAGTTCTGTATTACTGAGCTTTCCGAAGCTCACTCTATTACTCATCATTGCAGGTTAAAAGAATTGTACCAGTGCAGTTATCGATATCAATAAGGGAGTTCTTCCGGCGTTGCTTACAGAGTATGGTACATGTGATTAGGGGGCATGTAATTGTATTTTGTTTTATATACGAGTATGAAAACATGTTTTATTTCTGAACAATGATAAATCAATTTGTTAGTTACATGTTTTAATAAAAGTTTTAAATTTTCTGAGATTTTTACAGTGGGTCGCTCCAATGGCCCTAATATGACACTAGAGATCGGATCGGGTTATACGCATCGGTCTGAGGGGGTTACATGTTATGTCACATACATATGTGTTATGTGAAGCATGTTGATATATTAGATTGGGAATTTTATGTTATGTATTAGAACTTCAAAATTGTATAAATATTTATTATATTTGAATATGTTTATCATGATGTAAAGGGATTGATATGGGAAGTTAAGTGCATTCACTCGAAGGGGTGAATGTCACTTCGGATTCAGTGACCCTTACCTTATGGCAGACCCACTTCGGAAGGTGTTTTTATAGTTAGAGTGGTTTTAAGGAACTTACTCTTCAGATGGTGTATAAGGCATATGGGTGCATTTACATTTGTATTTCATTTGGACCACGAATATTATAACTCAAACTGTGAATATGTTTGCATTTCGAACTTGTTTGTCAGATTGCACTTTAGAGACACACTAAGCTTAATAGCTTACACACCCCCATAGTTTTTATTTCAAATACTCAGATTTAGATGATATTGTACTTGGAGAATCACATTCTTTATTCAGACAAAACTATTATTTTCAGTATGTTTTTCGACTTTTCTTCCATCATATTTTTGTTTATATTTTGGAATTGATATACAATGGGACTTTGGACATTATTGTTATTATTGAAACTGTTTATGGATGCACTTCAAGTTATTTATTATTTAAATTGAATTTTTCTCAAACATTTGTTCTTAATAAAAAAAATTATGAAGTTTGAATTTGAGAATTGTTTCTTTAATTATAATGTAATTTTTTTTTAAGTTTTGAATTGAACATAATTTATTCGAGAGAATAATTTAATTGGCGGCTCTAGATTCGACCTAATTTTTTTAGGTCGGGTTTGGGTGGTTACAAGTGGCGTGTTAACTCACAACCGGAGATTAACATGTTTTGAATTGATGTTAGGCCGAATCCTTAGCGTATCCAAACTTGAACATTACATTGAAAAGTAAAAGAAACAAAATGAACATAACGATAGAAAAAGGAAGAAATCAGTATGTAAAAGTGAAATAGGCAGCAAGCATGGAAGCAAGAGGAACAGAAATATTATCATCAATTAAGTTGGAAATCGGAAGAGATTCAACCACAGTTGCCACTAGAGAAACCAAAGCAACCCTATGAATTGCACATCCCCAATCCAATTCGAAGTATCCAAGAGCCGAGTAAAAGCACACCATCCTACATTCATTCACCAACACATCAGGAAAAAAAATCAAGAATATAAAGACTAATAAATGTATGTAACTCACCCGGTAGAAATGAAGAATCCGGCAACAAACATGGAAATGCTGCCAACCCAAGTCTTCATTTCATTATAAGGAAGCTTGGATGACCCAAATTTTCTTCCCATTATATCTGCAACACCTGTGAGATGCACACCTACCTATATTATATGCTTATACAAGATCAAATAATTCATATCATAACAAATTTCGATCGTTTATATCATGTTTTTATTTATATTTTTAATTGTTTTTCATGTAAGAGGGAAATTGTATACCATCTCCGCCGCACATCATTCCCAAGGAGATGACACCGACCGGAGATTCACGCCAAAACAACAGAGTACACATCATCAAGCTCACCACATAATATAATGGCCCTCTAAGCAACTCCCTGCATTTAAAAAAAAATCCAAAAAGCATTAACCCATTATATATTATATTAATCTGATCAATTATTATAAACAAAATTATTTGATATGTTACTCAAAAAATTAATATGAACACGAAACGGGTATATAATTTCTTTTAAAATAACACGTTAAAATCCATATATATATATATATAACAAATTGTTATTTTATATAAAATACTAAAACTCTTTAAGCATAGAGATACAAATATGGCATAAGTATCATAAAATAACACATAAATATATGTATGTATTAGTGATACGCTTGTGTTTTTAAGAAGAAGAAAATGTCTGAACTATTTAGACTAATGAATTTTAAAATCGAGTAAATCATAAGGACCAAAACTACAATTTCACCAAAATAAGCAGACATAATTAATTTTTTTATATTAACTAAGGTGATTACAAAAAAGTATATATTCTAAATACTAATTTTATTTATCTATTTATTTTAAAAAATGTATTAAAGTTTTTGATAAAATGGAAAATATATTTTAAAGAAGGGAAAAAGGAAACCTGTTGAATGAGTTCTTTTCGGTGTTGTCGCATAGATGGGGTGAAATGAAATAATAATTTAGTAAATGATGACCAAATCTTTATCTACTTATTTTATTTAGTAATTGTTATTAAATTAAATCACGAACCAAACATCCTCGTAGTAAATAAATTATTGTTATTCCTTAATATTTTGGATTTAAGCACTATTAATATTAGAAATATAAATATTCATGGTTAATGGTAAAGTCTTTACTATTAACATTCGTACAGAGATCCAAGAAGAGAGTAGACTGTTCATTGATGGTACCATAGCTGGTGGTCGAGTATGGCAAGCTGAAGGAGAAGAGCAGGTGATAGTTACAAGGTCCCGGTCGGACTGTAATGATGATGGTGGTTCGGTTGCAGACAAGAATGTTGCCTCGTTGGGCCAGAGAAGTGCTTATGGGTTGTTGGGAAATAGATAGGATCACCATACCTCCAAAGTGGTGGATACGGATGGTGGAGCAGAGGGTTTATATGAAGTTCCTGTGTTATCCAATAATGGGCTGCAGATCCAGAATGCAGACGATAGTTTTGGGCTGCTGGAACTGAACAGAGGAGCAATCCAATCTTGACTGTATCAATCTTTATCTAACAACTATAGACTGATGGATGTGCAAATTGAAGAAGTTTCTTCGTTGCAGCTGTTGGGCAAGGATTCTAGGGTTGATGATCATATCGTTAATTTCGGGGAAACTACAAATAATTCCCCTGTTATTCCTATTTCAGTTTTGGCGAAGATGGGTCTGTGTGCTTCATTGAGAGGTAATTCAGTTAAGGGGAAAATTTCAATGCTCAAAAAAGCATCGAAAAGAAAGAACAAGTCTGCTAGAGGCCGCAGGTTGAATGTCAATTTAACACGTCCTCCAAATCCCAGTGACTATCTTGTTGAGGGAAGTCAAGGAAGACGTTTGGATTCAAGGAACGAAGCAGAAGCATCTTTAATAGTGGGTGAGGCGTTAGGAATGCATTTTTTAGTCTCAAGAGAGAGGGTGCTTGATAGATTGGAATCTGTGGAGACGTCGGGTAATCTCTGAGAAAGTCTCTTGTCTGTGCCTTGTTCTAAGTTGAGGGTTTTGTTTTTTAATGGAATACGACCTATTTGTATTAACTTGGAATGTGAGAGGTATAGGGAGGAATGAAAAGATTAGGGATATTAGTCGGGTAGTGGAATCTAAAAAACCGAATGTAGTATTGTTTCAAGAATTTAAAGCCAATTCAATTTCTGCTTATGTTGAGAGAAGGTTAAAAGGTAGTCTTAATATGGAAATGATTATCTCGCCTGCAGAAGGTGCGTCAGGTGGGTTGATCTCTTTGTGGGATAGTAGTTTATTTCGTGCTTCTTGTCATATAAATCTTAGAAGAATTGTAGCATTGAAAGGTATGTTGGTTCGACAGAACATGGAAATAGGCATCATTAATTTCTATGGCCCGAATGCGCATGGTGATAGATCGATGTTTTTTGATCAGTTGAATGAAGTTATTGATAATTGGAAGTTGCCGATTATAGTGGGAGGTGATTTTAATTCTGTGAGATCGGATTTGGAAAGAACAGGTGGGCATGATATATCGAACTCCATATCTATTTTTAAAAATTTATATCTATGTGGGATTTGATTGAGGTTCCAATTTATGGGAGTGTTTTCACTTGGTTTAGGGGAGGTTTGAATATGGCAGCAAGTAGACTAGACAGATTTCTTATATCGACTGAAATAGCTTGCCTATTTCCAAATCTGATTCAGTGGACCCTTCCTAGAAGTCTGTCCGATCATAATCCTGTTGTGTTGAGAAATAAGAAGTTTAAAAGGTTTGCAGGCCCTTTAAATGGTTTAATCATTGGGTGGATGATCATACTTTATTCGACAAAATTTTAGGTATCTGTGAAGCTAACATTGGTAAAGGTGTGCAGTTTGTGTTGTCGTCAGCTAAGAAAGTGACTAAGGAATGGGATAGTGCTATCCGTGCAAATAACAGTGATTCGTCTTTGGAGATTGCGAAGGAAATTATTTCTCTAGAGAACTTGTGCTTGTCGAATCCGAGCAGTTGTACAATTCAATCCGAGATCACGTCATTGAAAGTAAGGCTTTGGACAGTTTTAAGAAAGGAAGAAAGAGAATGGTTGCAAAAATCAAGGCTTAAGTGGTTCAAGGAGGGGAATAAAAATACCAGATTTTTTTCATTTGGTGGCAACTCAAAGAGGTCGTAGGAATTTCATTTCGTCTTTGAAACTGTAGAATTCTATTTACAAAAAATAGTCTGATATCCAAAACGCTTTCGTTTCATACTTTAGAGATAGCTATAATGAGGTTAGAACTCTACCGGTGAAGAAGTTCGATGTTCAATTCAAAAGAATCACTGCATCCTCTAGAAGATTCATCGATTGTCCTTTCTTGAAAGAAGAGGTTTGGCTCACTATTAAAGCGTCAGATGGATCAAGAGCTCCGGGCCCGGATGGATTTAACCTGGATTTTTTCAAGAAATTCTAGTTATCCATAAAAGTTCATGTTATGCATTTTATGGATGAGTTTTATCGGGGGAACGTTGAAGACTTTTCCTTCAACAAGTCTTTTATTGCTCTCATCTTAAAAAATCCGAAGCTGTTGTTCCGGAGGATTACATGCATATTTCGTTGATAGGAAGTTTATATAAGATTGTGGCTCGTGTTTTGGCGAGAAGGATGGCTAGTGTTATGGGAGAAGTTATTGGGGATACACAATTTGCTTTTATGGATGGGAAACAAATTACAGATTGTTCCTTGATTGCAAATGAAGTTGTGGATGAGCTGAGGAAAAGTAAGAAAGAAATTGTTTTGTTTAAGGCGGATTTCAGCAAAGCTTATGATACAGTTGACTGGAACTTTTTGAGTCTAATATTTAAAAAAATGGGCTTCGGCAGAAGATGAAGGATGTGGGTTAATATTTTTATTTCAACGCCCTCGATTGCTGTCCTAGTTAACGGATGCCCTTCTAAGAGTTTCTCAATCAAGAGGGGTCTCAGGCAAGGGTGTCCGTTGTCTTCGTTTCTGTTTAATGTAGTTAGTGAGGCTTATAGTGGGCTACTTAAGAAATCGATGGCTTATGGTTTGTGTCGAGGGGTTAGAATTGGGTCTGGAGTAGAAGTATCTCACATTCAATTTGTTGATGATCTCATTTTCTTTTCTGAAGTGAATGCTGAAAATATTAAAAATTTGTGGCGTGTGTCCAAAATCTTTGAGGTTGCGGCTGGGCTAAAGCTAAATATGAAGAAGACAAATCTTTATGGGATTAACGTGGAAGATAGTAAGGTTACTGAATGGGATGATTCGATTGTGTGTGGCTGGGCAAGTTTACCTACCACGTATTTGGGTCTTCCTCTGGGGTACAACAAGAACTCCAAGTTGATGTGGCAACTTATCGTTGACAAAGTAAGAAATCGTCTTCAAAGTTGGAAAGGTAAATTGCTTTCTTTTGGGGGTAGAATTACTCTAATTAAATATGTTTTGATCAACTTGTCGATTTACTTCATGTCCTTATTTTCTATCCCAAAAAGTGTAGTCGAGATGATTAATTCAATTGTAGCGAGATTTCTGTGGAATATTAAGTCTGTTAGAGGGATTCATTAGATTAAGTGGACTAATGTATGTGGTCCGAAATCTCATGGGAGTTTGGGTATTTTCGACGTCAAGACTAGAAATAGAGCGTTCCTGAATAAATGGATTTGGCGTTTTTCAGAGGACAGTGAGTGTTTGTGGAAAAATATTATTGTTGCGAGGAATAATTATGTCCCAAAATCGATTCTGCCTAGAGCTACTACTTATCGGAAATCTTCTTGGTTGTAGCGAGACATTATTAATCCGGCAGTTTTGTATGGTGATGGTTTCGTTTCTGAAATAAGATGTGTTATGGGCGATGGGTCCAGAATTGAGTTCTGGTCCGATTTTTGGACTGATTTTCGTTCTTTAAAAAATGCCTTTCCGAGAATTTATGGGATTGCTGTTAAAAAATTTGGTTGTATTGTAGAATTCGGGTATTGGGTTGGTAATGTCTGGGAGTGGAATATATTTCTCAGAAGAGTTTTATTTGTTTGGGAATTGGATGTTTGGAGGGATTTCATGTTCGTACTCGAAAGAGCTGTTGGTTCAGGTCCAGGATCAGATAGATTAAAGTGGTTAGGCTCTGCTGATGGTAATTATAATACGAATGATTATTGCTCCAAAATGGATTCAGTTGGTAAGGAGGAAGATCCTAGTTGGAATCGAGTATGGTGCAAGTATGTTCCGCTTAAAATTTCTGCTTTGAAAGCTAAGCATCAAAGACTACCAGTAGTTACTGAATTGGTTAAGCGAGGCATTGATTGTAACGCTAATCAGCTTTGCATTTTTTTGCAAATGCTTTATAGAAGATCAAAATCATTTGTTGCTTCATTGTGATGTTTCGTGGCTTGTATGGCAACGATGGTGTGAGGTATGGGAAGTCAATATTGTTTTTCCTAGTAACGTTAATGAGCTAATTCAAATCTAGTTTTCTCAGAAAATTAGAAGGAAAAATCTGTTACTTATGGCATATCGATTTCTTTGGGTTGATTTGGACTATATGGCTTAGTAGAAATAAATCTAGATTCGAGGACAGTTTTCACAGTAGATCAGATATTTAATATAGCATTATTGTAAATTGGTGTTTGGATGCATTACTTGTGTCCAGAGAAGGTTCCTTGTATACAGGATTTTGCTCGATGTTCGAGTGCTTTTCTTTTGATTTGATGCTTTCGTTGGTTGCTGTCTCTGTGTTAATTTCCTTGCTTTAGGTAGCACGTTGTTCTGTAGATTTTCATCGTCTGGTTTTGCTGCTGAATTTCAGCCCTTGTAATATTGTGAGATTCAGTGTAGTTTCATTGTTAGGAGGCTGTTTTCTTTGTGCTCGGCCAGATTTGTTATGATGGTCGGATTGAGGAATTTTTTCGATTTTTGTAAGTTTAGTTTATATTTTTTTGATTTTAACCATCTCAAGACATACTTTTTTTCTTTCAAAAAAGTTTAGGGAGATTTTTTAATGAGGTTCTTGAAATGGTATATTTTGTACACTTATTTATACAAAGTACAACTCTTTCAAAAAAAAATATAAATATTCAACCCAAATAATTGAGATTTATCTTTTAACATATGGATTACTAAAATAATGAATTAAAAATTTTACTTGGGATCTCCTTCTCGAGTCACAGATTTGACCATGCTTTGATCATCAGACAAAGAGAGGACATGAATTACAAGCCTTAAGCAATTCACAAGTGGGACCAGAGATGCAAAGTAACGAGCTTCAATGGTGTTGCTATTTTTCAAAATAAATGAGGATCAGCTACAATATTAATTAATTTAATTAACAGAATATATATTTTTTCAAATAAATAAATATTTCCAGCATAAAAATATTAAAAATTACCTGAATATTGGCCACGAAATGGCAAAAAGTAATCCAGATAATATATGCACCAATTTTCTACTTAAACTCTGTTAAAAATTAATTAACCCCCGAAAATACGAAAAAATGAATTAAAGTTTTTGATAAAGTGGAAAATATATTTTAAAGAAGGGAAAAAGGAAACCTGTTGAATGAGTTCTTTTCGGTTGAGCGTATCGAAGGTGAAGGCGAGAGCATAAGCGCCAGCGAAGAAAGTGGCGGAAGCAACGGTGTATCGGAAGATAGAGGCGGTTACAGCAGTGGCTGAGAGTGCGGTGGCGCGATGGGGCACGCGATAGAGAATATGGAAACGGGACTTGTTGGGGGTGTAAGGAGAGAGAAAGAGAGAACGGGGAGGATGAAGAGGAATAGGATGAGAAAATGCAGCGGAGTATACATGGCGGCTTATGATTGGATGAGTGAAGGATAAAGAAAGACTCATCGTAACAGAGGAGAGGAGAAATAAAAAGAAGAAATGGGACACTAGTCTTGATATTTCCTTAAGATCTTCTCTTTTTTTTCCTTTTATGTGTGTATATATGTGTGACCGTACAAAACAATATTTATGGATCACAGTGGAACCAATGAATGAAAAGCGAGTACAATGTACGATTTATATTGTCAGAACCCAACTAGGACTGACAACTGTAAAAGCTGAATTTGGCAATGCTTTTGCCTTGTAAAATGAAACAATGTGAAACCAAATGCTACTGCAACGCTTTAACAAAACCTTTTCACTTCCCCATTGGGCTTTTCTATATTAAAATGATGAAATGGAATTTGGCACTGAAATTGCCAATTTAGAATTATTAAGAGAGCTCTAGTAAGTTTAAAGGTTCAATTACCAAACTATGCTTTAAAAAATATTTCAGTGCTTGAAGATTTTTTTTTTCAAAATAAGTGTAATATTTTTTAGTTATACTTTTAGTTGTCTATATTTTTTTATTTTTTAATAATAAAAATAGTATTTTTAAATAAAAAATAAAAATATTTATAAAAGACCCAATTTTTAATGGAATTATAAAAAACCCTAAAAACTAAAATCTTTCATTTTAACCCCATTACCAACCATCACCAGCAATCTTCGGCCACCATCGTCATCGTCGAATGGTCACCCACCCATCGCACCCACACATTGATAAATCGTTGTTCTTACCGTCACCTATAATCCCGAAAATCTAAATCCCTGATTCTCAATTTCAATTTCTCAACCCAAACGGTCACCGGCCATCATGGTCATCATCGAATTGTTGGGTTTTGATCGGAATTGTACAGTGGTTCAAATGGTGGTGGCGGTGTGGATTTTGAACGTCGGAATCGACGAAGAACGACTATTATATCCTACGAACCTGTGAACGCTTCTCCACAACAAACGATATCATATTACGATGAAAAGTCAATGGGGGTTTGATCGAGGGTTGACGCCGGTGCTGATAACAGTGGCAGTGGCAGTCACCTCTGGCCAGTTGGCGGCTATGGAGGGGGAGTGTGAAGGTAGCACAGGGGCTGCTGTTGTTTTCTTTTTTTTTTTACAAAAATGTTATTATTTTTAAAAAATTTAAATAAATTCTCAAAATTACCAGAATGTGACATGTTTCACTTAACGAAGATTTTTAACAGTGGATAACGTCCATAGACCTAAAAATATAATGTTTAAAACATTAGACATCTATTTTTAACGAAAAATTCTTTAAACACTAAAACGTTTTTCAATACATAATTTGAACACTTTATTTTTGTATTAAGTCAAGTTTTAATGTAAAAGTTAAAGGACGCCATCAAATATATAGTAAATAAAATTTGATATGATATTAAAAATATTTATTTATATTGAATTATTTTACTTTAAATTTGATTTTTATTCTCTCTATGAATTCAATTTAACATTATTTAAAACCTATATTTTTTTAAAAAAATAAACCTTATAAAATTAAATGAGAACAAAATTCAAGTCTGAATAAATTTTTCATTCCTATTCCAAACTTGAGAAAGGTAAACTATAATTTTAAGTTATGTACCTGAACCCCAATTACTAGTAATAATAAAAAAAACAATTTTAAAATTTAACTAAGATATTAATATAAGAAAATTTTAATATGTTTCAAACTTTTAATATTGTCGCGGCCATCTTTCGGGTAAGCCCGGATTGGGCTTCAACTTAAATAGAACATGTTAGAGTCGCCACCAATCATTTTAAAAAAGATTTAGGCTGATCGGACACCATCTTATCTGATCTGTATTTTACCAGAAATGTGTCGGGTTCGGGAGTCAGTTACAATCAAAGAAGGATTAGCACCCTTGTATTGCCCTTTAGACACCGATTAATTTGTCGGTTGTCTTAATTGCGAAACATTTAAATTTAAATTAAAATTAAAAAAAACTCGATTCAAATTACTTACCTTTGATTGGTTGGAATTCCTCTAAAAATGGTCAAAAAGAATGTTAGATAACAAATAACAAATAAATATTAAATAAATCAAAGGGAAAATGGAAAAATCAAATATATCAAATAAATCAAAAGAAAAAAATAAAAATATATCAAAAGAAAAAAAAATTAAATAAATATGAAAACAAAAATAAATAAAAAATATTAATTTAACAATAAAAAAATAGATGAATAAAGATAAGTGAAATTAAGCAAAAAATAATAAAAAACATAAACAAATAAAAAACAAATAAAAAACAAAATAAAATAATAATAAAGGGGTTAAATTTTGAAATAAAAAATAAAAAAAGAAATTAATTTACATTAGTGACCAAAATAAAACATGAATAAAATAATATGGCCAAATCATAAGTAATAATATTTAATGAGGACCGAATCTGTAAATAAACTAAAGTGACTAAAATAAAACCTATGCGAAATAAAGAGGATTGAACATAAAATAACCCATATTATTTCATGACTAAAATAAACATATTACCTAAATGATGACCTAAAATGAAATTATCCCCAAACATGAGATGAGCCAAAACTATGTCATTTTGGTCAGCATATTTAAGCCCCAAACATGATTCCTTTCTTTCATTCCTCATTCTCTCTTCTTTTCCAGAAAACAAGGGGGGAGAGTCTAAACTCTCTCAAATTCCCCTGATCAGGGAAGGGATGTAACACCCCAAACTGTACTCGACCCGAATACAAATTCGAGATGTCACATTGACTTTTTAAAATAATATCCTTACAAAATAACAGAACATTTGGACTTATTTTAAGAAAATACAGTCATATATTGTTGAATTATGTTTCATTATAATAAATTTAAAGAAAAACGTTTTTATGAATAGTACTTTACTATATGAATAGTACCGTGAACAGTACCGATGCTAAAAATTTTCCAGAATGCTACAGGGGTATTGATACCCTGCTACAGTGTACCGATACCTTGCTATAGTAATTCCGGCCAACATATATAAAACTCATAAAAATGTAACCTTTTATCACTATAAAGTTATCATTTACATATACATGTTTAAAATATTACAAAACTCAATCATCTGATTTTACAAAACTGATTAGAACATATCGGATTCAAACCTTTATTTACATGCCAACCACAATCAGTATTACAAAGTACAAACTATTCATTTCTTTTCATCTTTGGAAAGGAGAAACTGGTCTGTCTTGCATAACTTTTTCAATCTTCCTCTTCTTGGAACATACGTGTGAAATAATCGCACGCTAAGTCGTTGACATAGTGAGGCATATAAAACATATAATAGAAATCATAGAACATTTCACGTAACAGAATGAATACATATACATATACCATCATTATCATAATCTCTATTTATCATATGATCTTATACTTATCATTTCATATCACCAAAAGCATATACATCACATATATTGTATTTTTTATTGTCTCTTTATTAGCCCATGTACACATGTCATTCAGTGTAAACAATAATAACATGATATCATATAATAATGCAAACACTTTTGATATCTTTTATAAGCCCATGTACATTACCGGGAACTTAAGATATATGAGTATTTTGAGGTTGTGCACACATATGTTGTCACCACAGCTCGTATAATAATCTGTCCATATATCCCGAAGAACATAGGTAATATGTCCATATGTCCCGAAGAACATAGGTAATACTGTTCATATGTCCCGAAAGACATAGGTAATCCTATCCATATGTCCCAAAAGACGTAGGTAACCCTTGACTCTTGGCATGCCAACTATACCCCTAGCTCTCATATCACATAACATGGGCACTATCATTATGATTCATATAATTACACTTATGATCACATGTTTCTTTTCTTCTGTCACATACCACATGTATGTGTAACCATCTATCTCATATCATATAACATGTATCATATATTCAGGAAATCGCATGGATCATGTCTCATAGTTTTTATTATTTCACATATATTCATGTAACCACTTATGTCATATCATATAATTGATGTTCTGTTCTCTTATGTTCACATGACATATAATGCATACAAATCATATTCACACATGCCTTTACTCATGAATTTATACATCACATAGCACATAGAATAACATATAAACTTATACATGTATTCATGTACATACTTTCATATAGTCCGTATATCAATGCCATATAGCTTATCTCACAGTTTTATATAATCACTTATATCAATACACATAGCTTGTATTATAATTTCATATATTGATGTAAATCATATCACATATAATAACATATAAAACATACTCATTTTCATGTACTCATGCACACAAAAGAATCACAAATCAAATAACATTTTAGGAGTCACTTCTTACCATAGTAACTCCGTCACTTGCTCATCGCAAGCCAATATTTTTTCTATAACATAAGTACAAATTAAACTTGCACTCACCTATATCTCATTGTCTTTCCCTCGATCAATCTTACTTCCCCAAATGTTCCAGAATTGCTTCAGTCTCAGAATCTACATAAATATACATTTTACGGTAATTATCAAATAACTAAACCTTGTAATTTGATACTAATAGCTTAAATGAATTTAATGAATCAATATCAAATATTTTCCCTTTAGGGGGTATCGATACACTCCTTAAGGTATCGGTACCCTTATTGCATTCTGTGATTTTTCGTTCAAGAGGGTATCAGTACACATACATAGGGTACCGATACACTCTGCCCAAAACATGATTCTTTTCACCCGAAATTCATCAACTCTTCACTGATTTCCTCATACAAAACTCCTTTCATACCACTAAACCCAACTATAATCATTTTAACTAACTTATATCATTCCAACACTTTATTATCTACCATATTTCATACAAATTCTTAAAGTTAAGAATCATACCCAAATTTCCATGTTATCCAAATTTTGATTTAACACTTATAACTTCTTATTCACACCTATGACAAGTCAATTTCAGCTTCTAAATCCATTTATACATCCTTATTCAAAATTCCACTTATCCACTTCTTATCTTTAATCCTTCATAAATTACAAATCTTTGA